AGGAATAGTAAGCTGAGTACAGTTTGGTCGCAGGGGTTCAAATAGAGGACCCCCGACCGTATGGATGTCGTTATGATGGGCAAGGGTGTAACGTCAAGCCCCTTATAATAATAGAGTTTACAATGGTTATATAGGTCCCAAGTATAATGGTAAACTCTATCTATGCCTCTAAAGAGATCTTGTGTTGTTGTAGGAGAGACTTCTTGAAGCTCTTGATAAGAAACACTTGATAGAGTTGTGTAGGGAGTTGTGTGAGAGAGCTCTCAATGACTTCGACTAAATAATTCAATTTCTAATTGATTAGTTGGAGTGGGAGGTGGAGAATGAGCTTGGAAGCACAAACCCCCTCAATATACCCCTTTGGGAACTCTCCCAACCATGGCTTCCATGGTGGGATGGTCTGTAGGCTTGGAGCATATGTGGCAATTAGTTGGGTTGGGAAAACCCAACCTATAACCCATAGGGAACAAATGAGCGGCAGAGAATTACGGAGAGCAATGGACGAGATAAGGAGAGGACACACGGGATCGGATGCACGAGTTTGATAAGAGAAATTGTTCTGGTGACTATATAGGGTAAAAGGAGGCGTGGGATCGGTAACTTGGGAAGGAAGAAAGAACGACAAGGAATTAGGGATCCTGGTACAGCTCGTTTCATTATGTACTGTAGAAGAAAACCCTCTTGTCAGGCCTCGGGATAGCACGGTGTTTTACCCTGTTTGCCCTGCATTTCAGGGTGAAATTTTGGACCCACACTGCTAGAATTGGGTTTGGCTGGGCGTCCACCCTGTCATCATCAGGCAAGCCTAAAAACAAACCCTGCAAATGATGTTTAACGCTTATGCGCAACACTATCGTGTCCCGGCTCATTACGGCAGACACCCTGCCGACTTTTTCCCTTTTGCAGAACTTCACTAACTGCGCAACTTTTCCTCTAAGCCGAAAGACCCACTGAGAGGACTCTCATCTCCCTACCCAACACCACTAAAACCTCAACCACCACACACTTACGAATAGAGATGACCACCCTCTCTGTCGGTTGTGGTACACACTTCGAATCAAGCCAGGAAGATCCAACTCGACCAGGTTTTCTGGCGGGTTTTCAGTTGACAACGCACGGTTTTCGAAACTGCACGCCAAATGCGCAGTTTCATCGCTTCTGGGGCAGGGTTACTGCCCGTTTTTCGTTTACAGCGCAGAGTTTGTGCGATTTCTACGCAGCTCGACGCTCATTCGTCTAAATATCCGAAAACGACAAGCCTGCAATGTAACAGAAAATTTATTTAACTCAGTCAGGTGTTTCAAAATTTTCACGCCCATATAGAGAGTGCATCAATCCTAAACATCCAGTCGCGTGGAGTTTAGGGTTGATGCTCCCTCGACGGCAGCCATTAAAAAATATATATATATAAAAATCGTAACAAAGGGAATCAGCCCTGAACACTTTCGGCCAATGTTTAGGGTTGATGCTCCCTAAACACTTCCGCCCGGTGTTTAGGGTTGATGCTCCCTAAACACCCCGCCCGGTGTTTAGGGTTGATGCTCCCTGAACAGCATGCCATCCGAGAGGGTAATATATTTTCGTCTGCCCAAAATTCAGGTGCAAACAGTTCGATGGCCGTCAATCCAACCGGAGTTGTCGGTCCGTCAACATTTTGACCAATGAAATCTTTACTGCGTAGAAATCTCACTAACTATGCGCTGTGATCGAAAACTGGGCACTAACAGTGCGCCAGAAGCGACAATGCTGCGCTTTTTTCGTATATTTTCAGTAACACTTCGGGATTAACTAAAAACCCTTTTCTGGCTCCTGGGGAAAATTGATAATGGCGGGATATACTGCGAGACCCAAAAGTTTTAGCTTGGCAGTGTTTTCAAAGTTTCCACCCTGCTTGATTCGTCCTCGAAAAAAAATAACACTGCAATTTCTTGGGTATGACCGCCAAGGCACACTGCCGAGGCGGGGTGTAGTGGGTCACAACTCGGATCAGGCATCGTGCCCCAAAACGAATCGAGAGCTCTGCGTCCGGTCCAACCTCACCCTCTTCTTTTTCCATCCATACAGATCGAAGGTCGAACAAGCAATTGTGTGGGGCAACATGCAACGCAACTCGCATATACTGCCAGGATGGGACAAGGAACCACAATTCCCCCTTATCCCCCAACAACCAGTCGCGGCCAGGCCTGTCGAAGTTCCTGGGACCAACACTTAGAGTTTTGAGCTGCTCGAATTCTGGCCCTGATTTTCACGGGCGCAGGCCAAGTTCAAAACTTGAAATCTGGGCTTCTTAGAAAAGTGTCCTAGCCCTGACTAACAAATGTGTGTGTCCTATTACTTAGAAGCAAGAACGGGCATACTAACTACTCATCTACACAGCCCCCACATCGTAGGCAAAAACATTGCAGGCAAAAACATCTTGAGGAGGGGGTGGGCGGGGCAGGTAGGGGGGTGGGGGGTCCTTCGAAACAAAATTCAAAACTTGGATTCAGGGGAAGGCCCAAACGAGGCCCTTAACTATCACGGGTGCCACGCGAATCTAATACTTGAATCGGTCGAGCTGCTCCGAAATTAGTCCGGAATGTTCAGGGCATTAAGGGCAAATGCCCTTACTTCGACAACCCTGGTCGCGGCGGGTGTGTGCATTCGACGTACACTAGACTCTGTACAGTAAATTACTGTAGTATCTAGACTTCGTGAAGCATCTAGAACATGCCGTTGCAAAAATTGTCGGGTACAGGGTCGTATCGTCGTGACCTGACTATGTTTGTGGAGAGGCCTGATGACACTATACACTCATTTCTGTCAGAATGTTGTAATTGTCTAGCCTGCAGTGGGGTACTCTATAGCGAGTACAACCCAAATTAGGGTTTCCTATATGTACCTTGCATGCTGCTAGTACAAACCCTCTTCTCTGTTCTATCTTTCGTCCTACTATCTCGATATGGTAACAGAGCGTTCACGCTCCTGGCCTGTGGGCCCCACTGCTGCTTCCGCTGCCCTACTCTGTGTCGCGCGCCCCGTGGCGCGCGACCTTCACATTTTCATCCCGCCGCGCGCCCCGAGCGCGCGCGGCGGTTTCCTGCCGTGGGGGAGCCCGCGCGCGCCCCGCCCGTCCGTCGTGGCGCCCTGGGGAGAACGCGCGGCCCCCACCCTGCACGTCGCGTCGCCCTGGGGAGCCCGCGAGCGCCCCGCCCGTCCGTCGCGACGCCCTGGGGAGCCCGCGAGCGCCCCGCCCGTCCGTCTAGACGCACTGGGGAGCCCGCGAACGCCCCGCCCGTTCGTCGCGACGTCCTGGGGAGCCCGCGCGCGCCCCGCCAGTTCGTCGCGGCGCCCTCGAGAGCCCGCGCGCGCCCCGCCAGGCCGTCGCGGCGCCCTGGGGAGTCGCGCGCGCGTCCCCCCCGCCCGTCCGTCGCGGCGCCCTGGGGAGCAGCGCGCGCCACCCCCCTCCACCCGCCCAGCCCGTCCGTTCTGGCGCCCTGGGGGTCGCGCGCCATCCCCCCTCACCATCCCCCGCGCTCCTGCCCCTATCCCACCCGTTTTAGGGTTTCGGGGGTGAGGAGTGTGGGGGTGGCAGTTGTGGGGGTGCCGGTTGTGTGCCCCGTCCCCTACTCCTCCTCCTCCTTCGTCTCCCGCTGCTGCAGCTGCCGCTCAGGGGGGTGGGTGTGTGGGAGCCGAAGGAGTGGTGCTAGGGGGGTGACGTGAGAAGTGGATCTAGGGGTGCAGCAAGGGGTGTGTGAGAAGGGGGTGTGGGACTGTTAGGGGGGGGAGAGTGGAGGTCGCTGTCGTGTCGTCTGCAGCGCCTGTAGTCCGGAGCCGTCGTGCTCTCGGTAGCCCAGCGAGCCTGCTTCGCCAGTCGCCTGTGGGTCAGTTGCTCCTGTGTGTGCTCGTCGTAGCCGCGGAGCCAGATACTCCCGTAGTCCGGTGCCCTCGTGCGCTCGGTAGCCACTGTGCGCGCCGCTCCTGTTGCCCGTTGTGTCTGCAGCTTCGCCCATCGCCTGCAGCAGATCGCCCCTCACAGTCTCTCCTCCTCCTCACTTGCCCTCTGTGACTGCCTCTAGCTTTACTTGCATTTGTGGACTTGATCTATGACTGGTTATTTGTGCTGATTACACCCCACTTTGGCTATGGGGGTGTGTCAGAATGTTGTAATTGTCTAGCCTGCAGTGGGGTACTCTATAGCGAGTACAACCCAAATTAGGGTTTCCTATATGTACCTTGCATGCTGCTAGTACAAACCCTCTTCTCTGTTCTATCTTTCGTCCTACTATCTCGACAATTTCCGGCTATTTCGAAAACCTGTAATTGTTGATGAGACACCCTGTTATGAATGAACTTGCAGAGTGCGCAGAATATCGAATAACGAGAATGAGAATTACAGAATGACGAAACAATGAAGTAGCGATGCCTAAATAGGGGAAATGCTAGCTAGGCGGGGAGGTGGGGAAAGGTTGGCTCGCGAAGTGTCGCGATTGGTGCGGAGGCGGCTCGGTGAGGTTTGGATGCGAAATTGTAGGCCGAACCAGTTGGTCGCGTGGCCCTCGGGATGGCCTCGCTAACGAGTGCCTCAGTAAGGATTTGTAAATCCTTACACACCCTACATGTTGACTTGAAGCCAATTCCGCTCTGCAGCTCCTGCTGCTGAAGGTATATTGGTACTATTCTGTGGGCAAGGGACTGTTGCACCGTTGAACGGATGTACATCTTAGCAGCCACGCCTACTCTCACTTCCTGACATTGTGTGCCTCTGCGCGCGACTAAACGCACACACACACAAAGGTTGAGCACAATTGCAGTGCCTTACATAAGAATCTACAAAAGATTTGATAGGAGGGAAACAACTATAAATCTTGCATTATGGCAATTACATCTCTATGTACATGTACATTTACGCGGGTACACTAGTGAAAACAAACACATGCTGTGCTGATCTATACGCAAGCATACCATGTCATGGAGGCGACCAGGCACACACCGACTCGTAAGTGTGCTGTAGATACGCCTCAAGAACCGCTTTCTGCAAATGAATCGGTAGAAAAACGATGGGTAAGGGGATTGGTACAGAACAGAGCACTGTGCGACCCACGCCAGAGATTAGGACGGAATTCAAAGAGGGTCATAGTGTGGTGCGGCATTGTCAATGTGTCCTTGCAAATGTGCGTGCGTGCGTGCGTGCCTGTGTGGGTGTATGTGTGTGCGTTTTGGAATTCAAGCACACAAGGACGTGCATCATAGTGTGGTGTGGTGTGATGTTGTAAATGCGCCCTCCCTCGTGTGGCCAGAGCATCATTTGAGTTGTCTCGAAGCACACAAGGGCATGCAAAGAGAATCATGTGTGCAGCGATGTAGATGTCCCCTCATGTCCCCTCAAGTACCCTGCCTGAAGCACGGCTACCTTAAGCAGTAGAAGCAAAGACGAGCTAGAATTGGACGCAAAGACGCGCAGTCAGAACAGCAACCGGTCTTGATGCCTGCTATCGGAACAGAAAGGAGTTTTGATACCTGCTGTCAGAAACAGCAAGGAGTTTTGATACCTGCTGTCAGAAACAGCAGGAAGAGCAAGCAAAGAGAGCGTGCAGGGGGGAAGGTTTGGCACCTGAAAAGTAGCGAAGGGGCAGATGATCCTTCCTCCACACAGCTGAGGGGGTCACACGAGAGACAGAGAGAGACACAGTGCGATGCAGAGGGACGCAGAGGGGCACAGAGGGAGGAACGCAGTGGGGCACAGAGGGAGGGACGCAGAGGGACGCAGAGGGACGCAGAGGGACGCAGAGGGGCACAGAGGGAGGGACGCAGAGGGGCACAGAGGGACGCGTGGAGGAGGCAAGATAGAAAACACGTGCACGGGAATGGGTAACGAAGTAGAGTCGGTGTAAGGGATATACCGAGAGAGTTGACGGGGATAGATGTGGAGGATGGGGGGATCATGGTGTGGGAGCGAGTGAGCAATGAACAAAAGCTAAGCAATGAGCAAAAGCTAAGCAATGAGCAAAAGCTAAGCAATGAGCAAAATCTAAGCAATGAGCAAAAGCTAAGCAATGAGCAAAAGCTAAGCAATGAGCAAAATCTAAGCAATGAGCAAAAGCTAAGCAATGAGCAAAAGCTAAGCAATTAGCAGATTAATGGCGAATGTGCAAAAATGACCCACTCAACCAACCCAAGCAATCACGCAAGCAAACAGCTCAGCCCAGCTCAGTGAAGCAGGCAGATGAATTGCCCGTGCCTATGAGGCGAGCCCAACGAGACAACGGCCCTCCCAACCAACCCAAGCAACCAAGCAACCAAGCAACAAATCAAGCAGCTCAGCTCACCAACAGCGGCACGAAGCGCTCGTTGTGCATCACTGCCACGGCGAAGCAGGCAGCTTTGCCCTCATCACTCCCTGCATTGGCATTATCACTCCCTACCTTGGCCCAGCCCAACCACAAGGCGAAGCAGGCAGTTCAACCGCCCGAGCCTATGAGGCGAGCCCAACGAGCCAACGGCCCTCCCACCCAACCCAAGCAACCAAGCAACAACACAAGCAGCTCGGCTCAGCTCACCGGCAGAGGAACGAAGCGCTCATTGTGCATCACTGCCACGGCAAAGCTGTGTGACACCCAGCGGGCCAAAGGCCCACCCAACCCAAGCACGTAACCCAAGCAACAAAGCAAGCAGCAGCACCGCAGCTCAGCTCACCGGCAGCGGCACGAAGCACTCATTGTCCATCACTGCCACGTGACAGCTGTCTGGCACCCAGCGAGCCAAAGGCCCACCCAATCCATGCACACAACGCAAGCAACAAAGCAAGCAGCCATGCAAGCAAACAGCATAGCTCACCGGCAGCGGCACAAAGCGCTCGTTGTGCATCACTGCCACGGCAAAGCCATCTGCCAATGCCGCCTTTGCTTCCACATCATCCTGAGCCCTAGCATCAGCTTCAGCATCCGCATTCGCATCTGCTTCTGCATCGGGATTTTTGTCAGAATTTTCCTCTCCTCCTCCACTGGTGTTGCTGCCAATGCCACCACCACCACCGCCGCCGTTGCAACCACCACCGCCGTCACAAGCACCAGAGTCACCGCCGTTGCCACCACCACCACCGTCACAAGCACCAGAGATGGAGGCTGCAGTGCTTGGCATGTGAAGGCCATCAGTCCCATTGGGACCGCACCTGAAGAGCACAGCAGCAGTGTTGCAGGGTGCATGTAAATTATTAGTCAACTTTGAAATCACCTGCTGCGCGCACCCGACGAGGATGACTGTGCGATCAGATCACACCATACGATGCACTTTTGAGACGTCCCAAAAGTCGATCAGATTGCACCGTACGATGCACCTGACGAGGATGACGGCTGTGTTGGCGTCGTACTTACGGTGCGATCTGACCGGGCTGCCACCACCAGTAATTTGGGGTTCGGGGGGTGAATATCTAGTCGACTTAAATATTGCATACCCGCACCTGAAAAGGATGACGGCCGTGTTGGCAGCATAGGGTGCGATCTGGCTGGCCTGCCAGCGCCCGTGCGATGGAGGGGCGGGAGGCGGGGGGCAGGGGTGTTTTCAGAGCAATGAACCGTTGAGAGCAACCGTTGACGCAATGAACACCTGTTGCACGCACCGGAAGAGGATGACGGCCGTGTTGGCAGCATAGGGTGCAATCTGGCTGGCCTGCCAGCGCCGGTGCAATGGAGGGACGGGGGGCAGTGGCACTGGTGGGGCGAACTGCTGTGTGATTGTAGCGGCTACTTTCGCCATTAGCACGTCGTACTTGTCATGGTGAGGGCCTTCCTCCTGCAGCTTCTGCTGCTGCTGCTGATCCAATTGCTGCTGCTGGTTTTCGTTCTGGTGGTCGCGTTTGTCCTCTTTAGAGGCGGCCTCGTTAGGGGAGTCTGGCTTGTACAGCCCCAGGAGACACGCGAACGGAATGACTGTTTCCGCATGGCCAAAGTGCAGGGCAGCCCTCTCCCTCACCCCGTCCCTCCACCCATCCTTCTCCTTCTTCCCTTTCTTCCCCTTCTTCCCCTTCTTCCCTACCCTCACTTCCCCTTTGTGGCCCTCCTCCTTCCCCAATTCTGTTTCCGCCTTCACAACCCCCCCACTTCTTCCAACTCTCCCTTCTGCCTCCCCTACCGCTCCCACCAAGTGCCCCTCCTCCCAGAGCCTCCTAAGCCGTGCATTGACCAGCCGCTCACTCAATTCCTGGAGCAGCTTTAGGCCCATGTGGTAGTTAATCTCCCGCCCATACCCCTTCTGCATGAACGTGTCCACGTCATCAATCCACTCCAGCACCGCCAGGTGGCGCGCCGAGAAGAGCCCACACGCGCGGGAGGCCGTGTCCAGCCTATCACCTTTATTCGCTTCTCCTTCTCTCCCCCCTCCCCCTCTCAACAGCACCCCTGACTCGTGCTTGCACTGCAGCCACAGCCCACTCACATCGTACGCCGTCAGATCACCTCCAGCCGCCTCCAGCCCCGCATCCCGGCCGTCCGTTCCATTCCGTTCCAACCCCCCATGTTCCAACCCCAGCTGTTCAATCCCATCCCTTGCAACCTCCCCTCTCACCCCTTCCTCTTTCAACCCCCTCTTTTGTGCCTCAGGTGATTCAGGGACTAGGCCAAGCTGTTTGTTAATATCTAGGGCAATTTCCCCCCATAAAATCTCCCACCCTTCATCCAGCGGCCCCTGGGCGTTCTCTTTCACGGCCGCATAAGCGCCGCAGAGGTTGTGGAAACGAAGCTTCGTGTCACCTTCCTGGGTCTCGGAGATTACCGGGAAGGCGCGAAGGCGCGCGGGGGTGAGGGAGCCGGAGTTCTCTAGGAGGCCGATGGCAAAGGCGACCGCACTGGCTGCTGAACGGGCGACCTGAACGGGAATGGGGGAGATGGAAAAGGAGGGCGAGCGAGAGGATGGAGGGGAGAGGGAAACGGGGCACAGAGAGGGGGGGGAGTCAGGTGTCAAGTCTGACTTTTTAAGGCTTCTCTCTAAAGGTGAGAGAGCCAGAATTCTCTAGGAGGCCGATGGCAAAGGTGACTGCACTGGCTGCTGAACGGGCGACCTGAAGAGGGGGGGGGAAGGGAGGTTGGGGTGGTGTAGAGAGGATGGAGTAGAGAGGTGCAAGCATGAGAATTGAGGTGCCTCTAAAGGTGAGGGAGCCGGAGTTCTCTAGGAGGCCGATGGCAAAGGCGACTGCACTGGCTGCTGAACGAGCGACCTGAATGGGAAGGGGGGAGATGGGAAGGGGAGCGAGAGGATGGAGGGGAGAGGAAAACGGGGCACAGAGAGGTTGAGGAATCAGGTGTCAAGACTGATCATTTTAGGCCCCTCTCTCAAGGTGAAGGAGCCGGAGCTCTCAGGAAGCCGATGGCAAAGGCAACCGCACTGGCTGCTGAGCGGGCGACCTGAGGAGTTGTTGAGATGGGAGGAGAGAGGAGGGGATGAGAGAAGATTGGGGAGAGAGGTGTAAGCTTGGACGTTTGAGGCGTGCGGGAGTGAGAGAGCCGGAGTTCTTTAGAAGGCCAATGGCAGAGGCGACTGCACTGGCTGCTGAACGGGCGACCTGAGGTGGAGGGGGTGGGATGGAGGAGAGAGAATGGAGGGAACAGCTGGGAAAGTGTCTCTCCCTCACCTCAGCAGAACGCACCTGCATGGAGAACAGCTTGACGGCCTTGTTGTGATATGAGCCCCCGAGCGACGTGGCAAAACGCCTTCTAAACCGCCCACACATGCGGTACAGCTCCTCCTCTCCCTCCCCGAGCACACACAAACACACCTGCGTGGAGAACAGCTTGACGGCCTTGCTGTGATATGAGCCCCCAAGCAACATGGGGAAGCGTCTCTTAAACCGCCCACCCATGCGGTACAGCTCCTCCTCTCCCTCCCCGAGCACACACAAACACACCTGCGTGGAGAACAGCTTGACGGCCTTGCTGTGATATGAGCCCCCAAGCAACATGGAAAAGCGTCTCTTAAACCGCCCACGCATGCGGTACAGCTCCTCCTCTCCCTCCCCGAGCACACACAAACACACCTGCGTGGAGAACAGCTTGACGGCCTTGCTGTGATATGAGCCCCCAAGCAACATGGGGAAGCGTCTCTTAAACCGGCCACCCATGCGGTACAGCTCCTCCTGTCCCTCCCTAAGCAGCTCGCCAGGCCACAGCAACACACACCTGAGTGGAGAACAACTTAATGGCCTTGCTGTGGTATGAACCCCCGAGCAGAGTGGGAAACCGTCTCTTAAACCGCCCACCCATGCGGTACAGCTCCTCCTGTCCCTCCCTAAGCAGCTCGCCAGGCCACAGCAACACACACCTGAGTGGAGAACAACTTAATGGCCTTGCTGTGGTATGAACCCCCGAGCAGAGTGGGAAACTGTCTCTTAAACCGGCCACCCATGCGGTACAGCTCCTCCTCTCCCTCCTTAAGCAGCTCGCCAGGCCACAGCAACACACACCTGAGTGGAGAACAACTTAATGGCCTTGCTGTGGTATGAACCCCCGAGCAGAGTGGGAAACCGTCTCTTAAACCGGCCACCCATGCGGTACAGCTCCTCCTGTCCCTCCCTAAGCAGCTCGCCAGGCCACAGCAACACACACCTGAGTGGAGAACAACTTAATGGCCTTGCTGTGGTATGAACCCCCGAGCAGAGTGGGAAACCGTCTCTTAAACCGCCCACCCATGCGGTACAGCTCCTCCTGTCCCTCCCTAAGCAGCTCGCCAGGCCACAGCAACACACACCTGAGTGGAGAACAACTTAATGGCCTTGCTGTGGTATGAACCCCCGAGCAGAGTGGGAAACCGTCACTTAGACCGGCCACCCATGCGGTACAGCTCCTCCTGTCCCTCCCTAAGCAGCTCGCCAGGCCACAGCAACACACACCTGAGTGGAGAACAACTTAATGGCCTTGCTGTGGTATGAACCCCCGAGCAGAGTGGGAAACCGTCTCTTAAACCGGCCACCCATGCGGTACAGCTCCTCCTCTCCCTCCCTAAGCAGCTCGCCAGGCCACAGCAACACACACCTGAGTGGAGAACAACTTAATGGCCTTGCTGTGGTATGAACCCCCGAGCAGAGTGGGAAACCGTCTCTTAAACCGCCCACCCATGCGGTACAGCTCCTCCTGTCCCTCCCTAAGCAGCTCGCCAGGCCACAGCAACACACACCTGAGTGGAGAACAACTTAATGGCCTTGCTGTGGTATGAACCCCCGAGCAGAGTGGGAAACCGTCTCTTAAACCGGCCACCCATGCGGTACAGCTCCTCCTCTCCCTCCCTAAGCAGCTCGCCAGGCCACAGCAACACACACCTGAGTGGAGAACAACTTAATGGCCTTGCTGTGGTATGAACCCCCGAGCAGAGTGGGAAACCGTCTCTTAAACCGCCCACCCATGCGGTACAGCTCCTCCTGTCCCTCCCTAAGCAGCTCGCCAGGCCACAGCAACACACACCTGAGTGGAGAACAACTTAATGGCCTTGCTGTGGTATGAACCCCCGAGCAGAGTGGGAAACCGTCTCTTAAACCGGCCACCCATGCGGTACAGCTCCTCCTGTCCCTCCCTAAGCAGCTCGCCAGGCCACAGCAACACACACCTGAGTGGAGAACAACTTAATGGCCTTGCTGTGGTATGAACCCCCGAGCAGAGTGGGAAACCGTCTCTTAAACCGCCCACCCATGCGGTACAGCTCCTCCTGTCCCTCCCTAAGCAGCTCGCCAGGCCACAGCAACACACACCTGAGTGGAGAACAACTTAATGGCCTTGCTGTGGTATGAACCCCCGAGCAGAGTGGGAAACCGTCTCTTAAACCGGCCACCCATGCGGTACAGCTCCTCCTGTCCCTCCCTAAGCAGCTCGCCAGGCCACAGCAACACACACCTGAGTGGAGAACAACTTAATGGCCTTGCTGTAGTATGAACCCCCGAGCAGAGTGGGAAACCGTCTCTTAAACCGCCCACCCATGCGGTACAGCTCCTCCTGTCCCTCCCTAAGCAGCTCGCCAGGCCACAGCAACACACACCTGAGTGGAGAACAACTTAATGGCCTTGCTGTGGTATGAACCCCCGAGCAGAGTGGGAAACCGTCTCTTAAACCGCCCACCCATGCGGTACAGCTCCTCCTCTCCCTCCCTAAGCAGCTCGCCAGGCCACAGCAACACACACCTGAGTGGAGAACAACTTAATGGCCTTGCTGTGGTATGAACCCCCGAGCAGAGTGGGAAACCGTCTCTTAAACCGGCCACCCATGCGGTACAGCTCCTCCTCTCCCTCCCTAAGCAGCTCGCCAGGCCACAGCAACACACACCTGAGTGGAGAACAACTTAATGGCCTTGCTGTGGTATGAACCCCCGAGCAGAGTGGGAAACCGTCTCTTAAACCGGCCACCCATGCGGTACAGCTCCTCCTCTCCCTCCCTCAGCAGCTCGCCGCCCCCCTGCATCCCCTCCCATGGTGACTGGTAACCTCGCATCCACTCGGGGAGACTGAGACGTGACTGGGCTGCTGCTGAATTGCTTGCAGAGGTCTCGGCAGGAGATTCATCAGAGGCAGAGGCGGCTGGAGGGACAGGTGCTGAGGCAGCAGATCTAGAGGCAGCAGCGATGGCAGCAGCAGAGGCAGCCGCAAAGGCGCGTCTGAGCTTGGGAGCAAGCTCATTGAGCTGGTGAATGCGACGCTTGGTGGGCTCCCTTGCTCCGTGCCTGGCCTGAAATGCGGGGACGGGGGACATGGGGACATGGGGAGCAGGGCAGCAGAGGGAGATACACGGGCAGTGCAAGAGGCAGCAAAGGCATGTCTGAGCTTGGGCGCGAGCTGATTGAGTTGGTGGATGCGCCACTTTGTGGGCTCCCTTGCTCCGTGCCTCACCTGGAATGGGCGAACGTGGGAGGGACGGGCGGGGATGGGAGGAATGTGGACGGAAGGACGGGAAGAAGACAAAAAGTGCAAGGAGAGGAAGGCGGCACAGGGGAGAATGGGGAGCAGGGGAATACGGAAACATGGCAGGTAGGGCAGGCAAGGGATGAGGAGCAGAGCGATAGAGAGACATGGGGAGGCATGGGGAGCAGATGGAGAGTCAAGCTGATGTGTGTGGACTCAAAAGAGACGGACAGAATTAACGAAGGCGGATGGACGAAAGCACAAAACGGCATGGCAGGTAGGGCAGGCAAGGCAGGCAGGGCAGGGCAGGGCAGGGAAGGGCGGGGCAGGGCAGGGCAGGGCAGGGCAGGGAGGGCGCACGAGGAGGAAGAGGTAGATGGGCGTGCAGGAGGGCGGCAGGTTGGTGTGTGTGGACTCATACAGGACAGAAATACTCAAAGTAAGGCGACAGAGAGCGCACAAAGGCAGGGAAGGCAGAGCAGGGCAGGGCAGGATAGGGATGGAGGGCGCACGAGGAGGAAGAGGTAGATGGGCGTGCAGGAGGGCGGCAGGTTGAGGTGCTCCAGGTACTGTGGGCCGCCCGCTGCTGCTAGTGAGTCCTCGTACCTGGGGATAGGGGGGCAGAGGGGGGTAGGGGGGCCAGGGAGTGGGAGGGCAGGGAGGGTGCACGAGGACAAGGAGGTAAATGGGCAGGTTGAGGTGCTCGAGGTACTGGTGGGCCGCCCGCTGCTGCTAGCGAGTCCTCGTACCTGGGGAGAAGGGGCAAGGGAGGCAGAGGGGCCAGGGAACCGGAGGGCAGGGAGAGCACACGAGGAGGAGGTAGATGGGCAGGTTGAGGTGCTCGAGGTACTGGTGGGCCGCCCGCTGCTGCTAGCGAGTCCTTGTACCTGGGGATACAGGGTTAGGGTTCAAGGTTTAGAGGGGGACGCAGGTTAGGCGTGCAGGAGGGCGGCAGGATTAAGGTTCTCCAGATACTGCGGGCCACCCGCTGCTGCTAGCGAGTCTTCGTACCTGGGGAAAAGGAAGGGGAAGCGGGTGCGGTGAGGGAAGACAAGGAGGGGTCATGAAGGGTAAGGTGAGGTAAGAACGGGTGCTTTCACGGTACTGCTACCTCCTGCTGCTGCCAGCGAGCGTACCTGGGGACAGGAGGATAGGAAGAGGGGGGCAGGGAAGGGAAGCGGGAAAAGAAAGGGAAGACGAGGGGGGGTCATGAAGGGAAAGGTGAGGTAAGAATTCGTGCTCCACATACTGCGGTGCTGGCCCCCGCTGCTGCTAACGAGTCCTTGTACCTGGGGATAGGGGGCAGGAGGCCTGCAGGGTAATTACGAAATTTATCAAAAATATCCCCCACTTGTAGCCCTTCAAAGGGACCTGCAGGGGTTTTTCTTGGAAATTCTCAAAGATATCCCCCCCCTATGTAACCTTTCAATGGAGCCTCCATGGACCATGCCTTACATTGTCCCCTAATTTCTGTATCGCTTCTGTAATATCTCAAACGCTAAACGGGCTATTAATTCCAATTTCCCCTTCCACCACTGCCAACCTCTCCATGCACCATCAAGGGTGCACCATCAAGCGTGCACCATCAAGCGTGCACCCATATATGCACCTCTGATACACCGTCACGCATTCTGATGTACCATGATGCACGCACGCTCATGCACCATAACTCACCCACCATCCATCATTCACCTGAACATTCACCTTAAGATTCACCTGGTGGCGGTACCCAGGTGAGCTGCAATACTCGCGTTCACATCCCGCGAGTCTGCCGCCCATGCGGCAAGCCACTCCTCATCCCCACGTGATCCCTTGCACGTTCCTTCCCTGGTTCTTGCGCGGCTCCCTAATTCCTGGCCGCTAGTCCCTGATTCTCGGTGATCCGTCCCTTGGCCGTCAGTCCCTAACTCTTTTACTCGAACCCTTCCGATGATATGATCATTATGAACCCCGGGACCTCCTGCGACGCCGTCATGTGCACTTTCGGCCTGCACGACAGGCCGCGAGATCTCTCCCTCTTCGGTTTGCTGCGGCTCCTTAGCGAGGGCATCGCCCTCCGATCTGCCTAGAAGACGTATGCGGTCAACGAAGTTGTTACTTTTTTCGAGAATGTTAGCGAGATACCTCGCGAATTCGACACGGAATTCGGATAAAGTGCCGCCTGGAGCTGTGCAGCTGTGCGATAACGTGACACGTGGCGAGCAACGACTGACGAAGACAAAAAGCGCGAAACCGACGGAGAAGACGGTGATGCATGCGACAATAGCGCATGCAATTGAACGTTGCGAACGGTTACCCCGCTGTGCTGATTCCATGGCTGGTCAGACACAGTTGCCGCAGCGAATCAGCAGACGCGCCTGTTATCTCCGTGGTCCTTCAATAAATTCTGGATTGACGATTACAACGGATCATTGAGAAAAAGGTCATTTCGGCGGACTTCAACACGATATTGTTCGGTGCAGTCAGATAACGTTTCTGGTCGATTCTTTTTTCCGTTCTTTTCACAAGAGCAATGGCGAAAGCATCTTCGGTTGACGAAGATCACTATAGGGTTTCCATGTTCTGCGAAAACGGCAGGTCCAGAGCCTTCGTAACTTCGGAGGTCAGGGAGAAGTTCGCCAGCCCAAAGGGGAACCTCGCATCAGGTCTGCCAGGTCGACTTTCAAGTGGCGGAAGACAGGTCTAGGAGCTGACTCGTGGTGTGAAGCGAAGTGATACACCCAACTCTGACAAGCGAGTGATGATCCCCTTTATGAACTGGCACATTCCATCTCGTCCTGATGTTCTTATAACAGCCAGCCAACAAAAATCTGGAAATATAAAATAATAGCCCACAAATCAAAAGATGATGAAAGGGGAAACTAGCTAATAGTACAAGGTGACACTCATGCTCTTCCGCCATTATTGCTCCGTCCTCTTAGGAGCCAGGACTTTATTTGTGGACATCAAGTTGGATGCCCAAATGTGGTATCTTAAACCCGTCTATGGCTCCGAATGTGGCTCCGTCCTCTTAGGAGCCGCTCCGTCCTCTTAGGAGCCAGGGCTCCAACCTCCTCCACGCCCTTTCTGGTCATTCACGAGTATCTTTCAATGTGCTATCTCCTCCCACTGCCCCCACCACCGCCGCCAGCAGCAGCGCCGTAGTTGCAGATGCCGAGGGTGCATTGCCCCGGGCAGCGCGCACCGCATGCGCCGCAGTGGTCGTTGCTGCTGTCGAGATTCACGCAGCTGCCGCCGCAGCAACTCAGTGACACGTCGCAGAAGTTGCCGCACGCCCCGCAGTTGTTGATGTCAGTAAATTGGTCCACACACAGGCTGGGGGGAAGGGAGAGAGTGCGAGGAGAAAGGAAAGTGAAACCATGCAGACTTTTCAGCTGTTGATGTTAGTCGGCTGCTCCACACACAGGCTGGCGGAAGGGAGTGGTTTCAAGGAGAATGGGAATGTGAAACGATGCACCCTTGGGAATTACTCTGTTGTGAAAGAAAACCTTCTGTTGATGTCAGTTGCCTGGTCCACACACAGGCTTGTGGGGGGAGGGGGATTGAGTGGGGCAACAGAAGAAGGGAAAATGATGGGGAATCACAAGTGGGTAAAGACCTGCACTGCATGGGATCAAATGTGATCAACTTAACACCTGTGTGTGCGTGTGTGTGTGAGGGACTCACGAGCCGCAGACGGTTTGGTTGCTGGGGCATTGGAAGACCTGCAGGCGACGCCACTTCACTCGCGAGTTACTGCTACCGGAAGCACTTCGCGACGTTCGCATGGCGTATCGCTGCAGGGAAGGGGTTGGGAAGGACAGCGAAACTTGGAGAATATTTCGCATGCGTTGTAACCGCGCGCAGTGCGAACCTGTTCCTGACGTGGGGAGGACATCTATTCTCGTTAGAAAGGCCTCTGGGTGCGGGAGGAGCAAGGGGAGGACGGGCGCATCGCCGCCCTTCCTTGCGGGAGGAGCTAGGGGAGGACAGGCGCATCGCCGCTCTTCCTTGCGGGAGGAGCAAGGGGCGGACAGGCGCATCGCCGCTCTTCCTTGCGGGAGGAGCAAGGGGCGGACAGGCGCATCGCCGCTCTTCCTTGCGGGAGGAGCAAGGGGAGGACAGGCGCATCGCCGCTCTTCCTTGCGGGAGGAGCAAGGGGCGGATGTCACTTGACAGTAATTGGCGGTCATTTTATTCACGTTTCAAAGGCAGCTGGGTGCTTGAGGAGCAAGGGAGGACGAGCGCATCGACTTCTGAGTCGACTCAAAGACGCATCGCCGCCGAAAAAGTGCGGGAGAAGCTTGAGGGAGAGAATTCCCGCTCGAAGGGATTCAGTTACTGCGATGGTTGTTCCGAGAAATGTTCTTACTTCGAACTCTCTCGCGCTGGCTGTTGTGGACGGTATCGCGGCTGCTAGTAACGCCATGGCAATGCAGACAAGATAACACACGTGAATCGATCTCGATTCCATCTCAAATGGCTAGCGTTCGTCCTTGTAATTCCTTGTAATAAATCCTGGTCTAGTAATGGTGTAGGAATGCACCCAGACAAGAATCTGGGCTGATCGTCGCTTCCGGCGGGATGTTCTTTGTAAGTACTAGCGTTTCCCTAAAGGTGCTAGGCGATTAAGACAGAGTAAGCTGCTGCTAGAAAGGCGAGGAAGAGTTACAGCGTGCGGCGAAACGAAGATTTCAGATCTGAAGGCGGCTGAATAAAGCCGGAGAGTTAATGGGGCGAAGATGACGGTGGCTGGATGGCAAGAAAGTGCGACGGGGCAGCACGGGAAGGCGATAGCTGAGAACGTGGAAACTAATACTTGCTATGACAATTTCGACCCGGAAAACTGATTTGACATATCCTTCCTGGGACATGGGAGCCGGGAAATGGCTGGCGAGCGGCCAAGTGTGGTTGCTGGAGGGAATAAGCGAGATCGACGTTGTGAAATTCAGCCGCGATCTATCTCAGTGGCTGCTGTGTCTGTTAGCTTGCTTCGCTTTCCGTTCCCAGCTGCTTCCACAAGGGCAGGCGCCAGTTGTGTTGTGTACGTCTAGCGCGGTGCAAGGCGATGGAGCACGGTGAAGAACGATATTTTGGAGGTACCCCTTGAAACCATCGCGCACCAGACTAAACCCTCCAAAGTTTAGTCTGTCCCATCTGCCTCGCCATCCTTTCCCTCTCTCCCCAGCATTACGAATTCCGAATTTTCCATTGACTCGATGGTTCAATCAAAAACCGAGACGCGCGCGGCTCGTCACATGGGGAACACACTTCCCCCACGATTGCCAGTGACGCGGCGCAACCGTATACCCGAGGGAATCCACCAGCTGCCACTACTAAGTGCTGCGCGCCTTGATGCGGTCCTACATAGATGCTGCTGGGGTGTACATTGTAACGGATAGTTGTTATAGCTAATCAAAAGATAGAACAATAGACATCCACTCTGCATTGCCGTTCTGCTCCATCTCCGGTATATGATTTCTACCTTTCAATCTTTCAGATGTCCTAAATATCACACTGGTTGCTTCAAGGCTCACCAGTGGTTCCTCATGCTTGACCAACAACCATACAAATTGAAAATGTTTAGCTGACCACACGGTACAATGTAATGCCGGTGTGACATGCTCTTATTTTATGGTAGAACTCTAAATCAGATACTGAATACACCAGATTCATGCGTGTACTGTATCTACAATTAGCTTGCAAGCAGGCTGACCAACTTTTAGGTCAGGTGCATCTTTTCTTTTAGCAAGTTTACGTCCAACAGGAAATGGGAGTATGAAATGATTGGAGAAGCTGAATGTTACAAGGTGGGAAGCTCATTAAAAAAAAAATATATGCGGAAATAATTTTGAGGCGTACTGCCCGCGGAGGAAGGCAGGTGCCATCCAATGACCTCTATCATTACATTGTAACAGCCTTAAAGATCAGTTGAGGCAATCACCTCCTCTACACAGCAGATTTACCAATGCGGTCAAAGGCACTGATGCCAGCCACACGGCCATACACCACACACTCCAGCAGGGAGTTGCCACCCAGACGGTTTGCTCCATGCAGTCCACCTGTGAGCAGGACAGCAAACAACACAAGACATAGTAGAGGTTAAATTAGGAACACCCTATACCCATGCAAATGGAAGAATGTGTGTGTGTATCTAAGGCACTTGGTACACACAATGCCATAACTTGCATGAGACCCATGCCAAAACTTTACAAAGAAGCTGGGAACCAGGCCACCGGACTCTGAGAACCATGTTTCAACTCATACCTTGACTTGTGAACCTGGGAATCCGCTCCGCTCACCTGTCACCTCTCCGGCTTTAAAGAGGCCGGGAACGGGCGAGCCATCGTCCATGAGGATGCTGCCATTGGTGTCACACATAAACCAATTTTGGAGTTAACTCCGAAACTTTTAGAGTCAGCCCAGTCTTTTTGGTCTACCAGACCACCAGGTCAGGACTAATAGAATTATGTAACAAAACACCTTTCACGTTAACCTAGTTACCTTCTTCGCTCACCTGTTCCCTCGCCAGCTCCGAAGAGGCCAGGAATGGGCGTGCCATCCTCCTTGAGGATGCGGCCACTTGTGTCAAACTCACCCGACCTTTCACTTTGACAAATGGGCGCTGGACACCTTTCTCGTAAACCGGATTCTCCTCTTTGCTCACCTGTCACCTCGCCAGCCCCGAAGAGGCCGGGAATGGGCGTGCCATCCTCCTTGAGGATGCGGCCATTGGTGTCAAACTTGAGCCCTCCCATGCAGTAGTGCAGCGATGGCGTGATGATGGCCACGTACAGTGGGGGCTCGGAGGAGCTGCAAGGGGGGGAGACACAAGACAAACAGAGGGGGGCAGGGCAGTGGAAAGTGTAGATGGGAAAGGGACAGGTTGGGATTGAGCCGGCCCATGCAGAAGTGCAGAGGGTGTGATGATGGGCACGCAGTGGGGGCTCTGTGAAGATGCATGCCAGGGAGAGATAGAGGGGTTTGGGTAGAGGAGATGTGGCGAGGAGAGTTCACCGAGAAAAAAGTCGGGAGGAATTCGCTGGGGCAAGGGATGGGGGAGGTGATGGGGAACAGACAGATGGCGGAACAAAGTATGGGTGCGAGTGAGAATTGGCGCAGGAGATGCACAGGGTACGCAGGGATGCGTCCAAGGGAGGTAGAGCGAGGCAGTTGTTAAAAGGAACGAAGGAGGAGAGCACTCACTTGAAGAGCACATGGAATACGGCACTCACTTGAAGAGCACAGGGAAGACGGTCTTGCCAAAGGGATCGCCCTTCTCTGCATCGTGGTGGCCATACGAGTCCAGAGCAGCCTTCACGTTGGCTGCTGGCAGTTTCGTGCCCTCGCTCAGAGCCTCCACGCTGTCAAACTGCGGGGGATAATGCACACCAGGGAGAAGGGGTGGGGGGACAGGTCAGGAAGGTAGAGAGGAAAGTTGGGTCACGGAAACCGAGGAGAGTGGGGTCTAAAGGAACAAGGTGAGGTGGGCTGGGGAGAACCATAGAAGGTGATATCTCCTAGAGTCCTCAACTCTGTTCATCGCCCTCAGATAACTCCCATCGCTCTAGGCAAGGCACTGCCTGAATGAACTGCCTATGACAAGGCGCCTTTGTTGAAGGGCTTTCAGTGCTAGAAGTTAACGGATAGATTGTAACCATCAACAGCTGACCTCCTGACTGAGATTGGGATACGACAGTGGTCTATATCCATGTTCATCCCTGCCCTGTTGCTTCCCGCCTGAACCCATCCGCCTTTCTCACGCTCCTCACTCACTCTTCCCACTCACTCTTCCTCCGCACCCTCCGACGTTACCTTACGGATGAGCCCCTTGCCAATATAAAACTGGCACGAGAGCGGGTCGAACTTGTTGATGGCCTCCTGGTTCAGAATCAGGTACGATACCGCTGGCATGTCCGCACCCCCTGCTGGCGCGTCTGGCACCTCGGGCAGCGGCCCGCAGTTCTTGAGAATCGCCTCCACCACCTGGTGAGGGGGGGAAGGGAAAGGGGTTGTAGAAGAAGCAGGTTGTGAGAGTCTGTTTAGAGGCGCTTCATGAACTGACTGCACGAGGGCGGAAGCCACCACCTTTGGAGTGCCCGACACCTCAGACAGCGGGCCGCAGTTCTTCAGAATCGTCTGCACCACCTGGTTGGGGGTGAGGGAGGTTCGGTAATAGATGCACGTGGGGTGGGGGTGCGGAGGCGGGTGATGAGAGGCGCACGTGGGGTGGGGAGTTAAAAGCTGCAACACAAGGCAGGACTAGCATGCCCGTTCTGCCCCGTGTGCTCATCACATCCCTCTCCTCCCACGCTCCGCCCTGCTCCCTCACTTTTGGCCCCGCCCAGCTCGGCCCACAGATCTCTCCCCCTCCGCTTCATTCATCGCCCACCCATCGCAGTCAACCAGCCCATGCACTCACCGCGTCTCTGGTCGTCAGCTCGTTGACGAACCGGTCGCCCTTCTCGTTGAGCAGGATCCCGCCGCATCCGCGCAGGGCCTCGGGCGCGAGGAACTTGACGGGGTTGCGCGGGTCCTTGGGGTCCACGTACCCCGTCGGGTGCAGCTGCACCTGGTCCATGTGCACCAGCCCCGCGCCCGCCGCCACGCCCAGTCGCACGCCGTCGCCCGTCGCGAACGGGCCGTTGGTGGTCGCCAGGTTTCGCAGCTTGGGCGTGTGCTGGTCCAGCAGCCCCCCCTCGGCCTTGTCTGCCGAGTAGCCGCCTGTTGCGAGGATGACTGCGGAGGCCTTCACCTCCGTCTCCTCCTTGCCGCCCTGAGGAAGGGAGGGATCGGTGGGGGGAGAGGAGGGAACGGGAAAGGGAAGGAAGGAGGGTGACAGTGAGGTTGGAGGCTTTGAATGTTTTGTTCTGTTTTTTTTTTTTTTTGGTTACGCATTTCAGGCGGCTCAAATGCCGCCCGTGTATATATTTCTCGTTGATTCCGCAAATCTGTTGGTTGTGCGTGAGCTGTGCGTGAAATGTGCGCGCCAAGACCCGTCCACTTACAGAGCCGTCAGCTGCAGGGGTCTCGTACTTGACACCAGTGACTGCGCCGCTGTCGTCTGTGAGAAGCGCGGTCACCCGCGCCTGCTTCACCACCTTAGCCTGCAACATACGCGGAGAGACGACAAAACGACGGACGAGCATGTGAAAAGAATGAGACCAGTAGTGATGATGAAGGTACGCAGAGATGCAAGCAACAAAGAGAGAAGAGCAGCAGGGAAGTGGTGAACACACAGCAAACGAAGTCATCGTCACACCTAAATATCCGGATTTGAGGTGCCTACGATATGGGATAACCAAAGGAGACCGCGCGATAAACGGCAAAACCCCACCTCCCCTTCCAACAAAACAGCACAGCCCTCGCATGACCCCTAAAAGTACAGCCAGAAGTGGTTAGTCTGAGAAACAGTGTGGTTCACAGCCGGCGTACCTTGTCGGCAGGGAGAGCCTCGACGTATTTGATGAGCACAGACATGATGCGGAAGCCGATGTTCATGGGCTTGCCGTCGGGCTTGGACCTGTGCGTGCGCGGATGCTGCCTCGTCGCAGCGGCAGAAGCAGCAGCAGGGGCGTGCAAGGGGCAGGGAGAAGAAAAGGGGCCACGAGGAAAAGGGAGGTTAATTTAAAAAAACCTCAATTGAGGTTCCTTCAAGTCTGTCAAGATGGAGTTTATCATGTCTGTGTTCCAAGAAAATCTCCACACCAGGAAGACATGATGGGCAGAGAAAACCAGATTCAAACGGAACGAGGCAATTATCTTTCAGCTTTGGCGCCATGTTGAACGAGCTGCTGATTCACCGAGCGGCCGCCGAGCTGCGCGATGCTGGAAAGGTCGATCTGGCTGTTAGTCGACTCGATAGCGACGATGCTGCAACTTGCAAATACCTGTTAACACCACGCAGACTCACGGAGTGGCCGTGGAGCTACGACTCACCGAGTGGCCGCCGAGCTGCGCGATGCTGGAGAGGTCGATCTCGAAGCCCTCGAGGAACGCGACGGCGTCCGCGCTCTGCTTCACGATCACGTCCACCAACGTCATGTCCGACAGACCCTTGCCGGACCTGATGCGGGAGAGGGCAGCAATGGATATAGGAGCATGTACTATGAGGGGCCTAACGGATTAGAATCGAAGGCGTCCGCACTTTGCTTCACGATCACGTCCACAAGCGTCATGTCCGGCAGACCCTTGCCGGACCTGCAATCGGAGGGTGGCACGAGACGAGGAGGCGAGGCGAGGAGACGACGAGGGGATGAGCTGAAGTGGTAATGGATACCGGACCATGTACGAGGCGTCTACGGGAGCGGAATCGACGGCTTCCGCGCTCTGCTTCACGATCACCACCAGCGCCATGTCCGACAAGCCCTTGCCGGACCCGCAACGAGCAGGAAGAACGCGCGAAATGCGCGATGAGAAAACGGGAGGACAACAACACGAGAAGACTAGGCCGGACCCTTACCAGAAGGAAATTATCAAAGCTCCATGTGATGGTAGAATAGAGCGGGGAAAGAAGGAACTGAACAGCTGCGGACGAAACACAAGGGCTCACTTCTCAGTGTCCTTGGCGAAATCCTCGAGCTTGTCCTCGATGCCACCGGCGAGCTGGGGCCCGCTGCGAGCAGCGTTCATTCCTAAAAGGTTAAGGTTAAAAAGAGAAGAAATGACGGGAAAGAACACGAAATCATGGGCTGAGGAGAAAGAACCTCCAGTGATATAGCTGACCGTTTTATTGAGTTAAAAATACTGATCCCACTGGAATTCGTACAACATTATTGGTTCAACATGGTTGATGCGAGCGAACGTGACGCACGAATGTCATCGTTCATAACCACTTCATCCAGAGCAAATATTTGCATTTCGAACTTTGTGATGCAAGAGCCAGGGTAATAACAGAAACGAAAGACGGAAATTTTGAGGCTCACCAGAGCTCGCCTTGGCAGAGTTCCCACCGAGCCTGAATGGCAGATAGACACACAAGGATCGGATCACAAACAAAAGGTCAAGACGATGGAAAAGCAATAAACTTGGAACTTGAGACAGAATGGTACTACCGAATGCATATCACATCCGCAAGAGATAAAGAGAAAATTAAAAAAAAAAAAGACGTAAAAAAAACAGCGCATCGTTTTTTCAGCAACTAACCGTTCGCTCTTTTCGAGGACGAGGACGGATCCGCCCCGCTTGACGACTTCCACGGCCGCAGACAGACCCGCGAGGCCGCCTCCCACCACCACGACGTCAGGGAAGGTCACCATTTTTGTCACTGCAAGCAGCCACGAAGACAGCGAAGGACTTTCAATAAGAAATCTTTGAAGAAGCAGGACGGCAACCATCATGCATGATAACATGTCAGATAGAGAAATCTGGAGAGGAACATGGTCGAATCGGCAACCCGTTCAAGCCGTTAGTATCCCATAAAGGAAGGAAACGAAGGCGTGACGCAGATCTACAGCTCTTGGTGTGTAATGACTCGGACGCAAAGAAAGGAAACCGGAAAACGGAGGAGGCTAGAACCCGATGACAAACGAAAGACGATGTCATAAAGACATTATACTGGGCACTCTGCGATGAATAAGAGAGAAACATTGAATTATTGGTCCAGGAAGCCGAAATTGTCACCGGTAGTTACAGAGCCGGCTTCTTCCGATTGCAAGTCAGCTGTGGTTTTGAATTGGTCGCTTAGAGGTTCAACAACAGCGCTGGGATTCAGATCAACGGTGAAGGAGTTGCCAGGGACTTGAATGGCGAGGGAGCAGCAGACGAGGACTAGGAGCAGAAGCACGACGCCCTGCACGTGGTGGGAGTTGAGGAAAGACATGGGGGAATTCATCTGCCACGTGGTATCAGCAGTCAGGGGAGACGCGCTGTCGATCGATGATCTCAAGGGAGCTGTGCTGTTTTTAGAGTGAGAGGGAGTCGAGTTTCGCCTGCTGGCCATTACATGACGAGACGAGCAGTCGACCACTTCATGCCGCATGAGCTAAGAGCTAAGCAAGAGCAGATATGATGCTGGGTTTCGGAGGTCGTACAATACTAGTTCAGTCGTCCCTTGAGATTGTCAGATGATGCAGTTGTATTAGGAAAACTCTTCTGCAAGGATTTACTGATGGAGTTGCAAGCAAGAATGAAATCAGGTGTTGCGTTGGAATTGGGAATACAAGCCATGAAACATGCTGCCAGGAAGTTGAAGGGGAGAATCCCGCATGCTGGTCCCGCGGGTGGTTGGTCGGTTCAAGGAATCCCGGAGCAGACCGACCACCAGCATCCGCAATGCCCGCATTGCATGCATTTGGTGCATAACTGCCCAGCCTGACCTGCACGAGTCTGAAATTCCTGTGACTACCGAAGTTTAGCAAGAAGTACGGAACTAAATGCTCGTACTCGTGGTCGTGGAAAAGGGCCACTCAACGTGTTCGTCGCAGTTTAGAAGACGACATGCGAACAGACTATTTTGCTGAGTATTTTCAGTTCAGAGGAGCTGACCGTCCTTGCACAATTTCACATGGAGGTTCTACCCAAAGTGGCTTGCCAACCAATCACCAATCAAATGCCTACACAAATTCAGCAACCGCCTCGAGATCTCTCGCTAATCTCTGTGCTTCGTATCCCCAAGATTCCAGCGAAATGGCTGACTTGGAGACTTGCGTGGCAAACCGTGGTTTGATATCCCATCACAGATTCCATGACCCCTGCGCATGGTGGCATGTGTCAGATTTTGAAGTATGCGTAGTGTATTCCAGTTCAGTTAGTGTAGGCTCATGTGCAACCAGTAACACATCAACATCCTGTATAGATGGACATTCTCTAGGGTTAAGAGGACGAAATTGACTGGTGTTGCAATAATTTGAACCAAATAAATACTTGGCCACAGTGCATCAGCATTCCCCCCCCCCCCAGCATGCATCATTTTGGGCATTAACGCACGAAGCTTTTTCAACTACTACCATACTCTCCCTCGGACTCTGCATGGGCGCGCGCAATGCTTGTAGACAATCCTTTGAGGAGCCTTGCTGTTGCCGCCTCTATCAAGTACAACAGCAATCCTCAGCCTAGAACCCACCATGTGTTGCCACGTGCTCCACCTCTTCCGGTGTGCTCTCCCTCCCCAGCACCTCATTCCTGTGGGGAAACCGGCCAAACTTGACAATGATGTCACGGTGCTTGTGAGCGAAGCCCACCCACCCGGATAGGGAGTCCTTGAGTGGGCCTTCTGGTGCCTCTGCTACCGACTCTGACAGCAGCTGCACACACAGGTCTTGGTCTTGTAGGTCTTGTGAATGAGGAGGGGGAAGGGGGGAAAATGAAAATAAAGACGGAATCGAGTTACAGAAAGACAAAATAATCAACACTCGAAGAGAGTGCTTGATGATTCAGCTGCTGACTCTGATAGCAGCTGCACACAGAGGTCTGGTTATGCTAGGTCTGGTTGGGGGTAAAAGACACTTGCGGAACGTTCAAAAACCGGGCATCAAACTGGGATGAATTCAAACCATCTGAAATTCGATCTCAGATGCTTAAAAACGACCTGATCAGCGCTCCCCAAAAAACATATCTTCCATAATACCGTAGCTTCAAAATCAGTAAACCGCCTGGAGTTTGTAGAACATATGAAATTTACCTACCTTCAGAATGCATAAATGGCAGGTAGAAAAAGGACCGAATACGAAGGTGAAATTGCTTGTTGAATCCTTTGGCTATGGCCCTGCATCGCACATAACAATCCATCTCTTGGTGAGGACAAGAGGATGCAATAAGAACACGGGACTTCCACACAAACTCCAGGGTCACGAACAAAAAAGAGGAGTAGAAGCACATCAGGAATAAATCTTGTTAGACATGAGAATTGGATACGGGTGGCACAGAGCGCAGCTTGGAGAAGTTATTTGCTTGGATAACCTAGAAAGTGACTCAAGCTTAATGGCACGAGCTGTTAGAAAGAGAAGAGAAGGAGCAGAGAGCCAGTTGTGACTGCACACCAGGGTGCTCTAAAGGCGCGATTACGAAGGGACTGAATTCAGTCACCTTCTTGCGACTTGTCGGGCCAACGAGTCCTGTAGCAGGGATGGCAGGACGTGTGGGAAAGTAAAAAGAATGAGAAGGTAGAGAATTTAGACTCAGCCCAAGAAGAGCCCTGAAGAGAGGTTTCAAGAAAGAGAGGAGGGAGGCTGTGGGAAAGGACGAGGAGAAGCAGATGAAAAGGAAGAGTATTCTGTGAGTCATGGAAGAGTTGGGAACGACAATGAGTTGTTCAAATTGCAAAAGAAAGCGACTCCATGCTGGTGCTTTTTGGAATCTAGGCGGCATCGCTTGTGGTGCTATGGGCGATAGAGTCGCGAAATGAATGACTGTCTGTATGACCTTAGTAGTGGGCATTTGAGGTACTTGTTGCAGAGGGTGAAGAGGCTTTTGAGGGTTTAAAGATGCAGTGAGCTTTAGATTGAAGGAGTTGATGAGCCATACACAAGGCGTCTGCCGTGACATGGACGCTGATTGGAATGACGTAGATAAGAATTGCGAAAGGTGACGTCAGCACTCACCTGGGCAAAGGAGTCAGGCGATCCCCTGAGGCTGTTCCTCGTGAACTGGTCCAGCAGCACGACCAATGCCAGCGCGCCACGTGGCGTGTCTTCCCAGCCTGCCAACTGGCCTGACGCAGCGAGTGGGATGAGGGGAGCGAATCTGGCGCGGATAAAAGCGTCCACGTCAGGATCTTTGCGGAACCAAAGAGATTGCTTGGCTGCCACGACATCATCTTCTGGTGGTGGGCCCTGGAAAGGAGCGATAGAGGGTTGGACACACAACTGCTAGGCTTGTAAAGGGGGATTGGAAAAACGGAAATGCCTGCTAAAAAAAAGCGAGCCGTGGAAAAAGGGGTTGGGAGTTCAGGAAAACCTAATTAATTTTGAAAAAAATGCTAGGCTTGGAAAGGGGGACTTGTTATTGCCATTTCTCACAGAATAGTCAGGAGCCATGAAGTCGCCGAACCAGTACACGAGAATCTCGTCAGCTGCCGTGTCCACGTCAGCAGGCGTCACGCCGCTGCTGCTCGTCGCGACAGGACCGTCGGAAGCCATCGCTGCCGTCGCTGTGGCTGTAAAGATTCGGCGTTGATCTAGGCAAGCGACAGGCGTGGCCGTCGATCCTGACCAGAGGTGATTCTTGGTGATGGTAACCCTGTAACTGCTGGCACTGGTTCTTGAATGCAATTGCGTGGTAACAGAAAAATTCAAGGGTAGATGCACAAGCACCCGTTGAGACCTTGCAATGTCAGCTCTCTTTGACGAAACTGGGCAAGAGAAGCGGAATTGCGAAAGTGGGAGAATTCTATCAATCGCCGAGGCTTGTCTAGCTCTCAAAAAAAACGAGGCTTCGAGTCTAATGGCGAGCATCGGGCTGAAACGGCTTTTCCGGAATAACCGGCTGTCTCAGACCCAACGGCTAAAACTGAAATTCCGGCAAATGCGTTCAATAAAGGCGCGCACCCTAGGCTAATGAGCAGAAGTCAGGACGGATCTCGTTGAGCGGACTCTGTAGTGAGGTGCTGCCTCAGCGGCAGCAACGGTGAGGTTCTTGAAGTTGGCAAGACTGGCGGAACTACATTGCATCATGGTAAACGTTCACCGTTTCGAACCGCTCTACTCAAACTTCTGACCGAGGAAACTGCCCTGGAGAATCATTGTCAAAGCAGGCACACTGCCCCAGCAGCAAATTCGCCTCGCGGCAGTGGTGCGAGTGAGAGACGGCAAGGCACTCAGTCACTCTACTGTATGCAGCAGCTCTGAAAACCAGTGAAACTGCCTCGTGCGCGGAGCAGTTCGGTTGGTGCAAAGACTTCCAAAGACTTCCCATCTCTCTGTAAGTATCAATAATTTAAATCTGCATCCTGTATAGAACATTTTATGCTGACACTGATATTTTATACCGTACATCTATCCGAAGCTTTTTCTCGGCCTAAGCCAGTTGCTGACGTATGGGAACGGTCTCTTCCCTCCGGCCCAATGCTATTGGGGCTCAGCAGCAGTTTCGGCTCCTTCCTCTTCCACTGCGTTTGAAACACACACCCATCACAACCACGCCATGAAGAATATCAGAAGCAGAGCATGATAGCTTCCACTGCGTTCATATATAAAGGAAATATGGTACAGTACATACATCACGTAATGGCTGAAATCTGGGGAAACATGGTAGGTAGTCTGGTTAATTCTTTGGCCATGATGATTGAAGGTGGAATGCCATGATGTGTGCTGTGCATGCAGAGTTCTGAGTGAAAGTACATGCGAGAGAGAGCGAACGAGAGAGAGAGAGAGAGAGAGAGAGAGAGAGAGAGAGAGAGAGAGAGAGAGAGAGAGAGAGAGAGAGAGAGAGAGAGAGAGAGAGAGAGAGAGAGAGAGAGAGAGAGTAGTGAGCGAGGGATAGAAACGGATGAGAGGAGGCATTCAACTACCGTGATCCTTGTGGGCTTCAACATCCTTGGGCGACGTCAATGGTTTCAACTCCTCTCGTTTGGCAGACCCTCCTCCCCCGCCACCACGGTAGTTTTGCTTCACAGTCGATTGCTGGTACATCACCCCACCAACGATTGTAATGAACAGACAGAGCACCCCAAAAGGGGATGCGTGCTTATCCCATATCATCACGTTGATGACGACAGTCAGCAGCTTGTTCGTCACGCCAAGTACAGTGAACGCCGTGGCTGAAATCGCTTTTCTGCAGGCGAAACCGAAAAAGCTTATAGCGAGGCCGAACGCGCAGGACAGCAGCACGGGGAAGACGATCCCGAAATCCCACGACGCCGTGCTCACGGCTTTAATCGTCTCGCGAAATTCACCCGTGATCATCCAGAAAACGGGAGCCATTAGGAGGGAGAGGAAGTTGTTGTAGAGAACGAAACCCCAGGTGTTCAGTCCCAGGCTGGTGACTATATGCTTGATGTACACCATCTCGAATGTGATTGTAAAGAGGTAAGCGAAGGCCCAGGAGTACGCTCGAACGGTGTACTGGCTGTCAGTGAAAACGTACCCTACAGCTCCCACTAGAATCACGACCAGCGCGCCGAGAGTGTAAGGCCCTGGCCATGGCTGCTTCCTGAATAAGTAATCCGCGAACGCGACGAGGAGAGGCGTGGAGGATCGGAAGATGATGAAGGTGTCGACATTCGCGTAGCGAAGCAGCGAGGTGTTGGTGAAAATCGCCATGTAGAATACGAAAGCGGCTGGAATGAACTTTTTTATCATGTCCCATCGGATCGGGTCGTGGACTAAGAGTTTAAATTGGCCAGATGTGATGACGGCGACGACGCATGTGAGGTATTGGAGAGAGGTTAGGAGGCTCGGGTAAGGGAAAACGCCGATGGCGAATTTGTTGATGATTGCGAGGAGGCTGGAGCAAAGAGCGTAACCGACGGCTAGCGGGAGAGCGGTCAGGTCGCCTAGGTTGATGTTGACTCCGAATAGCTTGACGCTCGTGTTCTCCTTGTACCACGGCGCCATTGCTGACGTGTCAACAGTTGGGAAATTGGTGAGTTACTGGCTGATGGAAGGGACGAGACTAGCAAACACTGTCGTTACCATGTGCGGGATCTACTACAATGGCAGCACGAATCAGTGAAATCTGAAGAACCGCCATAAATTACGCGCACAAAGCAAGCTTCAAGTCGTAGACAAAGAACATGGGAATGGCGCGATGCCTAGATCGATCCTAGGTTAGGTGGGCCTAAGTGTCTGATAGGGGCTGTTGAAGTGAGCACGCAGTGAGAAATCAGGGGTGTGCTGTGGTTAATGGTTTTCCAGGCGGTAAACATCGGTTCGTGGCACATCCGTGCTGGACATTTTTCGAGAGGTGGTTTGATCGGATAACGGTTAGGCGCGGTTTGGTCTAGTGTGAGTAGAATCAGGCAGGAACTACAGCTTTGCCTAGATCGATCATAGGTTAGGTAGATTCGCTTCGCTACGATAGACCACCAGAACCTATATGTGAAATATGTGCTGAAACGTGTAGTGGAGCAAGCCGAAACGAATTTGGAGGTAAGGGGAGAATGATCCGTACTTGATACCAGGGCAGTCCCTCGGGATTTGGTTCCTCGAAATTAGTTCAACCAGCCATTCAGGATCAGGAGGACAGTGAAAGCTTCTATTCTCGCCGCAGGCTCGTGCGTTGGACTAGCATTAGTTCTGCGAACATTCCGTATTTTCGTGCAACATAACATGGCGGTCGACTCGCAAGAAGCCATCCGCCTGGCGTTCCTTCTCGAGCCAGGCCACACAGTCAGCAGTACGGATGGTTTCGATTATCTTGGGACCCGACGGTTTCTCCTCAAGACTAAAGCTCAAGACGCGACCCTCCAGCGACATGTAGGTGATTTCAATGACGCCGTAGGATGTCAAACTGTAACCGCGATCCCTGGGCAATGTTCTGACGGCAGATATGCGCTTCGACGCGCGTTGAGTCGAGATATACGATACGACATTTGACGGTTATTTCGTGAGTTTCTCCTGCTCTTTCAGAGTACTTCGTCGACGTGGATGGCTGTAATGCTCCACATCGTCGTTGAACGCCGTAACCGCTACAGCTTCTGTACCCCATTATTGTTACTGAACAGTGACCACACACAATCTCCACCTCTATGTTGTCCCCCCTTTCTCCCGTTTTCGTAATCCCCTCACGCTCCCATCGCACCCACCTGATACTTCCTCCTCACATACCAGCACTGGCAGCACGTGTCAGGAGTGGGCTATGCCGATTTCCGCGACTTCCTGCGCGCTCAGCGTGACACGTGGCGACAGGAGCGTGAGGCGAGCAGGGAGGAGGGGAGACACGCAGCTGCCGCACCTCCTAATGCTGACGTGGCACTTTCAGAAGCAACTGCAGGACAGAAGGTTCAGGGGAAGGTCGATACGGGGAAGGTTGGAATGGGGGAGGTCTACACTGGGAAGGCTGATACGGGGGAGGTGATTTATCATGAGGACGAGGACGGCGAGAGAGAGGTTGTGGAGGGGTTGGGAACGGTCCAGGTGGCGATAAGGGTGGACGGGATGACAGTCGCCGACGGCCGTGGGGAGGATGAAGAAGGATCGGATGAACGTCTAGCGAAGCTTGCAGCCGAGGCTGTTGTGGCAGGACAGAGTACCGTTTCTGCTGATGCAAGTGCTGGTGCTGGTTCTGGTGCTGGTGCTGGTGCTGGTGCTGATGCCAATCATATCTCCAAAAGCACTGACGCGCCTCCCTCTTTCACGGGCAGCAGCGTAGACTCCATTGCTGCTGCCGTAGCAGCAGCCCTTGGAAAGTCAGAACCGCCTGTTACTGCGTCTTCTGAAGCTGCTCCCACTGCCGAAGGGCCCGAGGAGGACGCCAATGCTACTGCTACACGTGCTGCTTCTGATGCTGCTGGTTCGAAGCTAGCTGCTTCGGAACTAGCAGGTTCGGGGCGTATTGGTTCTGCTGGCAGGGAGAAGCTTGAGGACGGTGCACGGGGTGCAGAGCACAGGGAGAGTGGAATAGAGGAGGAGGTGGCGATAAGGGTTAGTGCATCCAGTGGTGCGGGTGCTGGTGTGTCTTATAACGCGGTTAGGGATGGGAAGAGAGGGGACGAGGAAGGCAGGAATGAAGTAGCACCATCAGAAGCAGCAGCAGTAGCAGAAGCAGCGGCAGCAGATCAAGGCGACGCCTCAAGGGCGTCATCTGCAGCAGTAGCAGAATCAGACAGCAAGCAGCAGGAGGAAAGAGACGGCAAGCAGAAGGACAGAAAGCAGCAGGATAACAAGCAGCAGGACGGCAAGCACAAGGACAGCAAGCAGCCGCCATCCCCTCCGTCCCTCCCCGCTGGTTTCACCTCCTCCATATGCAGCGTTCCCCCAGAAGCTTCTCGGAACGTTCTTCCTCCTCCTCCTCCTCGGCCTGGGGCAGCAGGGGAAGCGGAGGGGAAGAAGGGCGCGAGGAGAGGGAGTGACGGAGCAGGGAGTGAGGGGGGTGCAGGGAGGGCGCTGGAGAGGAGGAGATCGGCAGGGGAGGCGGTAGCAGGGCGGGGGAGTGGGGAGGTGGGGCCACCTGTGCGCATGTGTGCTGTCTTTGATGACTGCCTTGCATCAGGTCTGGCAATGACTCTCACACTCACACTGACACTCACACTCACACTCACACTGACACTGACACTGACACTGACACTGACACTGACACTGACACTGACACTGACACTGACACTGACACTCACACTCACAGTCACACTCACACTGACATCGACACTGACACTGACACTGACACTGACACACGGGAGAACGTGCCAACGTGTGCCTAATGCACCACCCTTACCTGCTTGTGCCAAATGCACCTCTTCCCCCCCCTCTTCCCCCTCCCTCCAGTGAACAAGGTGCAGTTCGCCCGGCACCACCCTGACCTGCTGCCCTACGTGGCAGTGTGCCATGTGTGCCCAATGCACCTCTTCCCCCCCCCCCTTCCCCCTCCCTCCAGTGAACAAGGTGCAGTTCGCCCGGCACCACCCCGACCTGCTGGCCTACGGGGCAGCGGATGGCACGCTGCGGCTGTGCTATGTGCCGTGCAGCCGGGGGGGGAGTAAGCCAGGTGGCGTCGGGGGAAGAGGGGCGCTGCGAGTGTGGCGCGGGTGAAGCATGAACTTAAAGGACACACCAAGGAGGTTACTGGTGAGTGAATTCAAACGAGCAGAGTTACGAGTTGACTCAACAGGCAGGGGGGAGAGGGTCGCTGCGAGTTTGGGGCGAGTGAAGCACGAGCTCAAGGGGCACAGCAAAAAGGTCACTGGTGAGTGAAATCAAACAGATCATGTCATGCTCTTTGACGTAGGTCAACACACATGGAATGGAGAGAAGTGTGAGTCATTCCAATTCACCACCCGCCTACCCATCCAACCCACGTGGCAGACTTTGATTGGTCGACAGATGACGACTACCTGTGCTCGTCGTCTGCTGACAAGAGTGTGCGTGTGTGGGACGTGGGGTCGGGGCAGTGCCTTCGCATCATCTACACAGTCATTCCTCAGACCTGCATCATCTTCCACCCTGTAAGGACCCATTCCCCAGACATGCATTTGTTTTCACCCGGTAATGACCCACACACGTGGGGTGGGTGGGGTCGGGGCAGTGCTTGCGCATCATCTACACAATCATTCCTCAGACCTGCATCATCTTCCACCCGGCAATAGCTTGGGCGGGCATGCATGTGCATGTGCATGTTGAGAGTCACATCCCTGCACAGCGTCCACACGCTCATTCCGCAGACCTGCATCATCATCCACCCAGTACTAAGGACTTAGGATGCACATCACATTGCACGTGGCGGGCCATGGCTGCGGCGCTGTCACACGTGTTGGAGTTACATAATGGCGTAGTGCCTGTCAATTAGGTGACTCTTGAGTCGACTCAAAAGTCACCTCGGATGATGACGCAGTGCCTGTCAATCAGGTGACTCTTGAGTCGACTCAAAAGTCACCTCATATGATGGTGTAGTGCCTGTCAATCAGGTGACTCTTGAGTCGACTCAAAAGTCACCTCGGATGATGACGCAGTGCCTGTCAATCAGGTGACTCTTGAGTCGACTCAAAAGTCACCTCATATGATGGTGTAGTGCCTGTCAATCAGGTGACTCTTGAGTCGACTCAAAAGTCACCTCGGATGATGACGCAGTGCCTGTCAATCAGGTGACTCTTGAGTCGACTCAAAAGTCACCTCATATGATGGTGTAGTGCCTGTCAATCAGGTGACTCTTGAGTCGACTCAAAAGTCACCTCGGATGATGACGCAGTGCCTGTCAATCAGGTGACTCTTGAGTCGACTCAAAAGTCACCTCATATGATGGTGTAGTGCCTGTCAATCAGGTGACTCTTGAGTCGACTCAAAAGTCACCTCGGATGATGACGCAGTGCCTGTCAATCAGGTGACTCTTGAGTCGACTCAAAAGTCACCTCATATGATGGTGTAGTGCCTGTCAATCAGGTGACTCTTGAGTCGACTCAAAAGTCACCTCGGATGATGACGCAGTGCCTGTCAATCAGGTGACTCTTGAGTCGACTCAAAAGTCACCTCATATGATGGTGTAGTGCCTGTCAATCAGGTGACTCTTGAGTCGACTCAAAAGTCACCTCGGATGATGACGCAGTGCCTGTCAATCAGGTGACTCTTGAGTCGACTCAAAAGTCACCTCATATGATGGTGTAGTGCCTGTCAATCAGGTGACTCTTGAGTCGACTCAAAAGTCACCATGTTGGTGTAGTGCCTGTCAATCAGGTGACTCTTGAGTGCCTGTCTGCAGAGCATCCGCATGCTCATTCCGCAGACCTGCCTTATCTTCTACCCAGTAATGACTCATTAGGAACTGACAGTGATGAATTTCAGCACAGGGCGAGTGGTGAGCTGCGTCCCTCTCTCCGGCTCTCACCCCCTCTCCTCCCTCTCCCGCCCCCCCTCCTCACTCGCCAGCAAAACAACAACTTCCTGGTGGTAGCAAACAGCAAGAAGGAACTGACTGTGATGAACTTCAGCACGGGGCAAGTCGAGAGTTGTGTGGCCATGGACAGCAACGTCATCAAGAGCACTGGCAGCAATGGTGACACCAGGAGCACCGGCAGCAACGTCACTGCACTCGTGGCCGACCGAACCACTTCAGGCGCACAGCAGCAGGAGCTGACATGACAGGGATAATCTTTCTCTGTGCTCTTTCTCCCCCCCCCCCCCGTCCTCCCTCCCAACTGGCAGCAAAACAACAACTTCCTGGTGGTGGCGAACAGCAAGAAGGAACTGACAGTGATGAACTTCAGCACGGGGCGCGTGGTCAGCCGCGTCGCCATGGACAGCAACGTCACGGCCCTTGTCGCCGACCGAACCACCTCAGCTACACCTGCAGGTTCTGCCACCACCAGCGGCAGCAGCGGAAGTGGAGGAGCGGGAGGAGCGACGAGCAAGGCTGGATCAGCTGCAGCGGCAGCGGCGGCAGGAAGCGGTGGGTTTGGAGGGGGAGCAGGGCAGGCGGACAGTGTGGTGTTTGTGGGCGACAGCGAGGGCGCCATTCACAGCTTCACGGTGGACAAGCAGTCGGGCGCTCTGCAGCGCCGCCACAAGACAGTTGCCGGGGTCGTGCACCCAGCGCCAGTCGCCTCGCTGCATTTTAGTTCTACCTCGGTGCTGGCGAATGGGCCGGTGCTGCTTGCTTGCAGCAAGGACGGCTGCGTGCGGTTTTACACGTGAGTATTGGTGAGGTGACGGGCGGTAGTGGGTTGACAGGTATCGGGTCTGGTGGGACCACAGCTTCACGGTCGACAAGCAGTCGGGCGCTCTGCAGCGCCGCCACAAGACCGTTGTCGGGGTCGTGCAATTTCATACAGCCTCTGAGCTCGCCGGTTGATTGGTGTTGCTGGCGCGTAGCAAGGATGTTCCTCTAAGGCTGTGCACGCCTGTGCTCTGGGTTCTCTCAGCACTGTGAGGGCTATGGATGCCTCACTGGTCCCTCCAAGCAGCATTGCAGCGCTGCCTTAGGACCGTTGCTGGGGTCGTGCATCTGGTGCCCGTGGCCTCACCCTTCCCTCCCCTCCCCACCCCTCTCCCCCCATCCTCACCCACCAGCACCGCTCTGGAGCTAAATGGCTACCTTGTCCTCAAGATCTCGCTGCAGCTCTCCTCTCGTCTCATCCTGTCTCCTTGCATCTGCCTTCCCCCCCCTTGATTTCAGCCAGCACCGCTCTGGCGCTGGACGGCTACCTCTTTCTCAAAATCTCGCTGCAGCTCTCTCTCTTCTTATCTGTGCCCGTTCTGCCCTCTCCCGTACAACCCACCAGCACAGCGCCGGAGCTGAATGATTACCTCTTCCTCAAGATCTCGCTGCAGCTCTCCTTTCGTCTCTTTCTTCGCTCTCCCTTAATCTGCCGTACCCATCCCCACTCATCCCCACCCTCTCCAGCACTGCTCAGGAGCTGAATGATTACCTCTTCCTCAAGATCTCTCCTTTCATCTCTTTCTTTGCTCTCCCTTGATCTGCCATACCCATCCCCACACCATCCCCCACCCACCAGCACCGCATTGGAGCTGAACGGCTACCTCTTCCTCAAGATCTCGCTGCAGCTCTCCTCTCGAGCCACCAACATGAATGCCGCCTTCTGCCCCCCACTTGGGTCGTCGGGGTCGGGGGAATACATTGGTGAGTTTGGAGTGGTTGTGAGTGGTGGTCAATGATAGTCAATTCCCCCCTGCCCACTTTAGAGTCTCCTCGTGAGCCACCAACATGAACGCCGCCTTCTGCCCCCCCGCTTGGTCCCTCGGGGTCGGGGGAAAACATCGGTGAGTTTGCAGTGGTAGATCAAGAATCGATTAAGAATGAGACAGCGGTGATAGCAAGTGGTGACAAATGGTGGTTGATGCCAGCTGGTTTTTGAGAATTCTCAAAAACCAGCGAGTGGTGACAAATGGTGGTTGATGCCCCTGTGCCCACTAATGGGGCGCCTTAAAAGCCACCGACATGAATGCCGCCTTCTGCCCTCCGCTGGGGCCCTCCGGGTCGGGGGATTGCATTGGTGAGTTTGGAATGGTATATTAAAAAAGACTTTGCAGTGATAGCGAATGGTGGCGAATGGTAGTTGACTTTTCAGTCGACTAAAAATGGTGGCCAATGGTCGTTGACTTTTCAGTCGACTAAAAAATGGTGGCGAGTGGTAGTTGACGGCCTCGTGCCCACTTTTCAGGCACCACAAGAGCCACCAGCATGAACGCCGCGATCGGGTCTGATGAACACATGGGTAGGTCTGGAGTGGTAGTGAATGGTAGCGAGTGGTAGAGAATCGTGAATAATTCCTGGCATCCGAGGTGATGGCCTTTGAAGAAGCCCGACCTACGCCATGTCCGATACGACCCTCCCTGCCCATTTACTCTGTTCTCTAGTTTGTTCACATCACGACCCAACCCTCTAGGTCTTCTATGGCTTCATATTATCCTTTAGGAGCCCATCCTTCATATTATCCTTCAGTATTTTTTTCCCGTCAGTTGCTTGTTGCCTATTCACCGTCCTTCACCTCCTTCATCGTTTTCCTCTGGCATCATAGTGTTGAGCTGTTTCACATCCTTCTTTCTTCCCTTCATCCCTTTCTCTCCCTTCACCCCGCTGTTACCATGCCGCTGTTACCATGCCGCTGTTACCATGCCGCTGTTACCATGCCGCTGTTACCATGCCGCTGTTACCATGCCGCTGTTACCATGCCGCTGTTCCCATGCCGCTGTTCCCATGCCGCTGTTCCCATGCCGCTGTTACCATGCCGCTGCTCCCATGCTGCTCTTCCCATGCGTGCAGTGACGGGCAATGCCGACCATCACGTGTACTTCTACGACTTCATGAAGCCTCGCAGTCCGCTCGTGGCCCGTGTGCCGGTGAGTGTGGCAATGACTCTCACGTCGAGTTGAATTGGGTTTTGGGGTTGCGTCAGAATGTCAACCACCACAGATGCTTTTACGACGTCATGAAGCCGCACAGTCCGCTCGTGGCTCGTGTTCCTGTGAGTGTGGCACTCGCTTTTCCAGGGTGAGTGGGTGTGGGAGTTTATTTGGTTATTGTGACAATAGGCTACACACATGGCGCGACATTGTTGGCTTGCACCTGTGCTCGGTGTTTCTGTCGGTGAATAGTACCGGGTTTGCTTGTCCATTGAAGACTTATACCCTGACTGCATGCCTACACCATGCTGGCCACAATTGGAACTGAAGTTTGGTTTCCAGAGTTATCGTGCCTACTTTTTTATGCTTAAAACATCAATTTCCCAATGTCAATGTGCACGGAACAGTGATTCTACCTTCTCTTGTCCGTGGGATCCCTGCATATTGCACATGCAAGCACTTTTCACAAAGCAGCGAACTTCACCCAATTTTCTAGGTCCCTCTTCCGCCCCGCAACGTGTGTTTCTCACGGTTTGCTCTCTACTCTCCCCGTCTCCGCCCCCTCACACCCCCCCCACCTCCACCCCTCTCACCGATCATCCCACTCCTCTCTCCCTCGCAGGGTCACAAGGCGATGGTGGTGGATGTGAGTTGGAACAACAGCAACACTGTACTCGCCTCCTGTGACTGTGATGGGGTGGTGGCGCTGTGGCAGCGAGCTTAGCTCCTGACAGTATGCACAGCTTGAAGCGCCAGCATCCATGTGGCTTTAATTATGTGCTGGTGTTGTGGCAGCGAGCTTAGCTCTTAGTAGTGCATATTTGAGGCGCCTAAAATATTGACCCCGAAGCATTGATTTCATGCGTGCATGCATGTGAAGCATATCAAGGCAGGCAAGGCAATGCCTGTGCGTAGTGACTCATTCCCTGTGATATTGCTGGAGGTAGGCAGGACTCGGCCTCTTGGGAAGCACTGCAGTTGGACGGACCTACCGTCACGCACACTGCACTGCCGGGTCTTGCTTGAGCTGAATTTTGGGGAGAATGACTACCAAAACGGCGGAGCTGGTAGGCAAGATGCGGCTGTAATGGTTCTGTCAGCCAATGTTCTAGGGTAGGGTGTTTTGACAACCAAATTCCAAGGAATTTATCTGTGCGCGCCCACAAACGGGTACAATCCCATCATCATCTGGAATGCGCGCTTCGTGTAGGGTGCATGAATCTTGCAGAGTCACGGAGGGAGTTCGCCAATCGCCACCAGGCTGCGCCTGTATCGCCGTCCGCCATTCTTCGCAAATATTCAGTTCGTGGGATAATTTGGCAGGAACGACTAGAGGTAAAGCGTGGTGAAGTACGGTGCCATCTACATTCCTTGTGGTCCCCTTTCTCGGAATTTCTTGGTGCTTCCAAGAAACGAGACCATTTTAGACGGTGCGGTTTCCAAGATCAACCATTTTATGTTAGAATCTGACAGCAGGAATGAATTGCATTGATGAAGTGTTGGGTACATAAGCTAACCCTAACATTGGGTTGTACCCCATATGGGCTACCCCACTAGCAGCCTACACAAACACAATATGCATAGTTTGACACACCCCCATAGGCAAAGTGGGGGAGAACAAGGGGTCACAAGACCAGTCAAGAGAAACAAAACAAGCTCAGGGTGGATCACAACGTCACCACACACACTAAGCACAAGCAAAGGGCCACAAGGCCAGTCCACATGCAGAGATATATATAAGCAACAAGAGCAGTACAGTGATCAATACCTAGCAAGAGCAAGCATGCAGGTATAAATATAGAGCACAGTATACACAAAAGACTACAGCAAGTGTGGAAACGTAGGCACAAGGCCTAACAAAGTACAAAAGCGCTGATGATCACCAGACGGAAGTGCCTTGGTGAATATATCAGCAGTGTTGGCCCGAGTGGCCACGTGTGCAAGACGAAGCTGACCACGCTGCTGCAACTCTCGAGCCAGAAAGTAACGCAGAGCGATGTGCTTCGTTCTGTGCTCCAGTCTGTGCTCCTCACACAAGGCAATGGCAGCCTTGTTGTCGACGTACAGAACTGGAGGAGAACGAGGCCGCTCTCCCAGGTCGGTCAGCAGGTAGGTGAGCCAGCGTAACTCCTGAGCAGCCATGGCGGTGGCGTAGATCTCAGCCTCACAACTGGAGCTGAGAACAGAAGACGAGCGAGTAGAACGCCAAGAAACAGAACCAGAGCCAAGGCTGAAAGTGTAACCCTGTGACGACCGCTGCGTAGCCTGGTCGTCAACCCAAGAAGCGTCTGAGTGCCCAGTGAGGACCACCTCTCGCCGTCCTCCAAGCACGAGCCCCATGCCCGATGTACTGCACAAGTAGCGCAGTACCCTCTTCGCAGCATCCCAGTGCACCTTTCGGTGCCGACCAGGAGCCACGTAGCGGGCCAAAAGGCCAAGAGGGTACGCAAGGTCAGGACGAGTGCAAGTCATCAGGTACATGAGGCAGCCTACTAGCTCTGGGTAAGGACCACTCGGCTCTACAGACTCGTCCGAAGGTGGAGCTGAGAGCGAGTGACCTATAGCCAGAGGAGTGGACTGTGCCGAGGACCAGGTGAAGCCGAAGCGCTGAAGGACCTGCTGCACCATGTGTGACTGAGTCAGAGTGATGGTGCGACGTGCTCTGTCCCAGGTGATCTGCAAGCCAAGGTAGCTGCGCAGCTCACCCAGATCTGTGCACGTGTGTCTCTTCTGCAGCTCGGACTTCACCAGGGCGAGAGCCTCAGTGTCAGCAGTGGCAAAGACCAAGTCGTCGACGTACACGAGGATGTAGAACGGCGGCAGCGAAGTGTCGGTGCGCAGAAACAGTGACGGGTCAGCTGTGGAGGGCGCAAACCCGAGAGCCGCAAGCGTAGTCCTCAGTGTGTCGTGCCACTCACGAGGCGCCTGACGGAGACCGTAGACTGGCCGGCGGAGGCTCCACTGGGTACCAGGAGGGAACGACCCAGTGAAGCCAGGTGGGCGGCGCAGCCAGATCTCCTCGTGCAGGCTGCCCTGCAAGAAAGCTGTGCTGAAGTCAAGCGAGTGAAGCTCGTAGTCACGCTGGGCGGCAACGTGCAGCAGTACCCGAAGAGTGGTCATCTTCAGGGTGGGGGAGAAGGTCTGGAAGAAGTCAACCCCCTCTCGCTGACTGAAGCCTCGAGCAACGTAACGTGCCTTGAAGACAGGCGGAGAACCAGGCGGCCGCTTCACCCTGAAAATCCACATGCCACTGACGATGTTCGCCCCAGGAGGGGGAACCTCGTCGACGTAAGTGCCTGTGGACTTCCAGGATGCCATCTCTGCGTCCATGGCTGCCTGCCACTGAGAGGAGTAGGGACCCGCGACCGCCTCAGCGTACGAGCGCGGGGTGGGGATGTCTAGTGCATCCGGGTCTCCCTCAGGGGCAAGCAGCATGGTCACGAGATGAGGCGCAGCGGCTGCAAGACACTCAAGGTCCTCGTGCCTGTCCTCAAGGACGTCCGTGCTAAGAGCACACTCACCCCCGACGGACGGAGGACAGACAGACTCAGACTCAGCGACAAGACTAGCAGCGTAGTCTAGACGACAGGCAGCCGCAAAGTCAACAAGCTCGGCAACCAAAGCTGTCGCAGCAGCAGACTCAAACGAGGGGTCAGTGACAACAGTGGCGAGCAGACGCGTGACAGTAGGGTGCTCAGCACGAAACCGGTCAGACTCAGGGTCCGTAACGTGAGGCAAGGAAGACGCAGGAGGAGACGGCAGAGAAACAGACTGCGGAACAGAGGAAGGACGACGGACGACAAGGTGTGCGGTGGGGACAGGCGGCGAACGCGGACGCGGAACACGACGACCGGTACGACTAGGACGAACAGGCGAGACAGGACGCGACGCAGGCTCACGACGCTCAGCAAGACTACCCGTCCGCTCAGTGTAAGGAGAAGGAGCAGGCAGCGGTGAGCCAGGCTGTAAGGGAAGACCAGTAGACGACGGGAGAGTAAGAACCTGACGAAGAACAGAGTCAGGCAGCGGCAGAGACGACGGAGACGGCGGAGCGAAGAACAGTCGTGGCGGCGCAGCTGCACCAGAACCGGCAGCTCCAGCAGCTCCAGTACCCCCAGCAGCTCCAGCACCTCCAGCAGCTCCAGAAGCTCCAGCAGCAGAACCGACACCTCCAGGCCCAGGGTCTCCAACCCCAGTGCCTCCAGCAGCAGCACCCCCAGAACCAGTACCTCCAGTCCCAGGGTCTCCAGCCTCCACGTCTCCAGCAGCAGCACCCCCAGAACCAGCACCTCCAGTCCCAGGGTCTCCAGCCTCCACGTCTCCAGCAGCAGCACCCCCAGAACCAGCACCTCCAGTCCCAGGGTCTCCAGCCTCGGTGTCTCCAGCAGCAGCACCTCCAGACGCAGCACCCCCAGCCCCAGCAGCTCCAGTACCTCCAGTACGAGCACCTCCGGGACCAGCGACTCCAGCACCTCCAGTAGAAACAGTACCAGCACCACTCCTAGCGCCAGGGACGGCAGCAGAAGTACCTCCAGCAGTAGAGCCCCGGGCTCCAGCAGCGCGACCCTGACGGCGACCGTACCAGTCGTGCAGCTGCTGCGAGGTGAGTGGCACACGTGGACGAAGGCGGCTACTCCAAGGAGACCGCGCAACAGCAGACTCTGAACCCTCAGCGCCAGCACCCTCAGCAGCTCCAGCGCCACCAGCACCAGGACCTCCAGCAGCTCCAGAACCTCCAGCGCTAGCACCCTCAGCAGCCCCAGAACCACCAGCTCCAGCACCTCCAGACCCCTCACACTCAGGCTCAGCACCTCCAGGCTCTACACCCTCAAGCTCCGCACCCCCAGGCTCCGCACCCCCAGGCTCAGCACCCCCAGACTCAGCACCCCCAGAAGTAGCACCCCGAGCAGGACCACCCCCAGCAGGACCTGAGTCACCAGTGACCTCAACTGGCGCAGGGAAGGGAGGAGGGTCTACCTGAGACACACCTGAGGGAGCAGGACCTGGAGCGGGGAGAGGGTCGACCTGGG